ACTGGCTGCTCATAGTTAGATAGTATGTCTGACCCAACAACAACATCATCAACGGGTTGTAGGTCTCCTGACATCATCACTAGCCTCATCACATTCACTCTTCAACATTATCTTCATGATCACTTTCCAGCTCATAATTAGGGTCTTTTTCCACATTAGACCCATAATCACCTTTACACTTAGTGCCAAAATTAGCACCATAATTCAGATCATCTAGATTACCAAGTTCAATTGGGGATAGATCATGACATGTTGATGATGGTTGTGGAAAGTCATGATTTGAATGCAAATCATGTGACCCCATAGCTTGTGACAGTCTAGCCTGTGACATATTCGTCTTTGTACTCTCACATCCAGTAACATAAATATTGATGTGTTTGTGCCTCTCATGCACTTTGCACATCTCCACTACATCAGCAACAAATTTCAACCATACTAGCCCATCATCCAAGTTTGCTTTGGACTTCTTATAGAACAAGTCACCTATTTTACTGTACCAAGATCTTTTATCAATAGTTGTATCTCAATGAATGATAAGAGGTCACCATCAACATTGTGGTTCACAAACACATCACCACCAGTATAAATCGTTGGTGGCATATTCATAAAGAACCCACCATGATGTATTTTGATGGTGTATATCGTACATGACATCTAAACCAAATACCAAATAAATCTAGCAATGTTAGGACCATATCCAAAATTTAGATCACTTGGAACTTAAATAAAACATTGTCCAATTTAATAACATTCATTTCACAATGTTCAGACTTTAATAAAGTATTGCCAACTTAATAGATTTCACATTGATTCACATATATCCAAACTTTAATAGAGAGATAGATAAATAGAATGAGAGTGAGAGAGAGAGAGAGAGAGAGAGTTGGAATAGTTAAGATATTTCACAAGGATAGGTATAGATAGAAGGTGATTGAGATAGACAGTTAGATATATGAAGGGAGTAGGGAGAGAGAGAGGGAGAGAGAAAGAGGTAAATGGGATACAATATACAAAGAACCTCCTATGTTGTGAAACAACCTCCTGTATTTTTTAATTCTCTCAGCCCCTTACTTTTTCTTGAATTCCCACATAAGCCCATTATCATCCCTTATAGGGGGAGAGAGAGAGAGTAAGATAGATATAAAGAGAGAGAGAGAGAGATAAAGGGAATGCAATATACAAAAAAACCCCATATTCTTCTTGCCTTTTTCTCTTTATTCAATAGCTCCCCTTTTTTTTTGAGTTCCCCCCTAAGTCCACTATTATCCCTTGTGCACATGCTAATCTAGACAAGGGTACATGGTAAGCGAGAGAGAGAGAGAGAGAGGTTCTTTCTGGAGCTTGGATTCATGAGCGGCGCTTCTTCCTCGAGAAAACACAATAGTGACTAGGTTTTTTGGGTTTGGGCTTAATCAGGGGTAGCGCGCGTCATTTCCAAAAGATTGGAAGGGTAGCTTCAACTATGCACCGGATTTGAAACGTGTCTGAGTGCATTAAGAGTCAATCCGCGCTCTAAAGTTTTCAGATCTGAAAACAAAATTCAGATCAATTTTAAGAGGAGAAACCAAATGAGTATGAGGTCTGAAAAGCAACGTTTTCAGATTCAGACTAAAAAGTGCAATCAAATTGCCCCTTATGTGCTTTGATTGTTTAGATTTCGCTTAACAAAGCCCGTGCATCACACGGGTCTCTACTAGGTGCAACTTGAGTGGGTTGAGTCAAGTTGATGGTCAATTCAATCCTAAGTCTCAAACCTCAAGCTCAAGATTGGTCTAATTCAAGGTTAAGCCTGAGTTTACCAACCTAGGCCCAACTCAACCTTAACTAAGCATCTCAAGCTTAGGGATGGCAATTTCTACCCTACCTAGTGGGTATCCACCTCTACTCACCTCAACGGGGTGGGTTTTTTTGTTTGAAGGATGGGTTTGGGGCAAATCGGGTTTTGGAATTCTACAATCCGTACATTACAGGTAGGATATGGTATTAGGCTAAACCCAACCCCCTCAACCTACATATTGTTGGAAAGTATATAAACTTTATGTACTAGGTGTTGAATTTAATAATATTTTAAATTAGATGTAAAGGATAATTGATAGTTTATGTGTTCTTTTACATCTTAATCAAATAATTGGAAATTTTGTTGTTTATTTATGTTAATTTACTTATTTATTGCTTTTATATAATAAGAAATAATAGGAAATTAGATGCGGGTTTTAAACCAAACCCACCCTACCCTTCCCCTACCCTTGTATACGTGGGGGGGTTGAATTTTCATGTGCAGGGAGGGTTTGGATTCTCAAAATCAAGTCTAGAATTTACAAAACCCTCATTGAACCCACTCTATTGCCATCCCTGCTCGGGCTAGGCTTAGGCTTGGGCATATTGAGCTTTGTACCTCAATTTCCAGTTAGAATAGGTTGGTAATATATATAGATATATATCATAAAATGTTGGGCAAACTTAAATTGCATTGGATTAGTACCCGAGGCCTCAACGTAAGCCCAATATCTAAGTTTAGTTTAAGCCTGAGTATTTTTGGCTCAAGCCCACTTTAATTTTCTAAAACGCAAACCCAACCTATGCAAAAACTTTGATTGAATCGGGTTAGGTTTGAATTGGTTACTCTTAACTTGCACCCCTAGCTCTATTGCCTGAAATTGTTTTAACAAAGCCCGCGCATTGCACGGGTCCCTACTAGTATATATATTAAAGTAAAGCAAACCACGTTAGATGGCCCTTCCTTGCTTCATTATCCCAATCTTTCATTTGTAGAAGGCGTGCAAGATTCCTTATAAATGCCCAAGGAATTGCCGCCTCAACATGGCAATCTCCCTATTTTTGCCCAAAAATTATCACTCCCCAAACCATTCTTTATTTATCTCATCCAACCAAGACCCCGCATCTAATTTCCTCTTTTAAAACAGATTTAATCCCCTTGATTATAGGCAACTCTATGTCTTCCCTAATCAAGGATGCTTACTTTTCCTTTTATCCCTAACTACCTCTATTAGTATCGGAGTTTACCTCATTTATTTTACTTACCAAAATTTTGCTTTTCAATTTTTATTATTTTCCAATCATTTCATTCAACATAATGTTTTTGTTTTTTCAAATCATTTTTCCTAAACTGCTTCTACATGATTGGAAAAACCATTTCACATTGAGAGAAGTGATTGAGACATTTTATGTTTCAATTTAATTTTAGTTTTAAAGTTTTAATAATTCTGTTTTGTGAAGTTGCAAAAACGTAACACTGCGGCTATACAATTAAGTTTTAGCTTCACAAGTATCTCATCAGTCCCCTGCTTCATTTCTCATCGTGAAGCTAATAGGGTTCGAGTTTCTTGACAACTTGCAAGTTAGTCACTGCAAGTTACTACCGATTCAAGTTAGTCATTACAAACCCCTGTAAATTTTTTTTTTTTTTTTTGTTGCAGAAATAACTTGTTTGGAGCCTGTAAGTGGAAGTCACGAACATCCTCAACCCAGCAGGGGCAGAACCAGGAAATTGTTATAAGGGGAATCAAAACATAAATGAAGTATGGATAAACCCACAGGAGAGGCCAACCATTAAGATGGAGAGTGGAGAGAGGAGAAAATTTACATGAAAAATTGTTTTTCGGTGGAGAATTTCTAAACCATAGGGGGGCCATGATCCCCTGGGTCCTCCTCTGGCTCTACTCCTGCAACCCAGGTACGCTGTTTCAACATTTTCCATGAAATTTTGGAAGGAAATAAGAAAGAATACAATACTGGGATGGTTCTAGATGGTCCCTACCATTTACAGGAAATCGATGGTAAAAAAACGGAGTAAAAATGTCATCGATTCCGCGTGACCCATTTTTAACAAGCGGGCGAAGAAGACAATCAAGATGGGTCATTATGGATCATATTTTGAAAAAATCGGCCATAACTTTTCCATCCTGAATATTTATCAAAAATACCTAGTTTTTCTTTTTGACATCATATATTTTTCCAACTCTAAGGTAAGGTGAACATTTTTTAAATCTCTCGTAAACAATTTATTACTTCATATTAACCGTCTTTGAAAGCATTAATTACATCACTGGTTGGGTCCTACCAACGTTTGTTGGTGTCAATTGAACTGGATTTGGTCCAATTCGATCCTGTTCAATATGAGTCCATTACAGATGGACTAGGTCCAATCCAATGTAATGAATATTTTGGACTATTTTGCATCAATCCAATTCAATGTTTGAACCTCCAATATGTTCAAATTGATTTTAATTGAGATTGGTTCTAATCCAAACATGGTCCATTGACACCTATATTCTTTTCTTCTATCAATGGACCAAAAATTGGTTCAATCCAATCCAATATAAATCTATTACAGACGGGCCAGGTCCAATCCAACTCAATAAATATTTTGGACCATTAAGTCTGGACTCGTCCAATTCAATATATTTTATCGGTTCATTCAATCCATCCAAATTGATTTTGATTTGGATGGGTCCAACCCAAAACTGGTCCATTGATACCTCTAAGTAAGAAACTACCAAATAGAAAGTAGAGGTAGAATTTGAGTTTCCATAGTTTTTCCTATTAACTTGAATTAGCAATGCATTATTTTTTATTGATTTGTTTCCTTTAATTAGCCGTGCATTATATATTAATATATATAATTTTATTATACTATTTTATTTTATTATTGTATATATAAGCAATTGTATATATCAAAAATCATATAAAATAAAATTTTAAGATTTTTTAATTTTTTTGTCTATTTTATTTATTTATTTTAACTTTATTATTATTTTATTATTTATTTAAAAAATATACCTCTCATAACTTAACCCGACCTGGTCTAACCCAAGGTTTACACAGGCCCGCATAGGCTGGGGGACCAAGCTAGCAAAATATCCCGGGGAGGGAAGCATGGCCCGGCTCGGCCCGCCAAAATCACAGGCCGCCCACGGGCCATGTCATGCCGACCCAACACGATACGATATACAGCTGAAGACGCCGACCCCTAACTTTTCTAGATTTCTTGGACAAAAAGAAACTAGAGTTCAAATCAGCCCCCACAGAATGCGTCGCAGAAACGTCTCACATCATATCATAATCGTGTATTGGGACATCTCCCAGTGACTCTGGGCTTTTTTGGCGAATTAAATTGTTCATTTGTCTTCCACCATAAGGAAAAAAAAAGGTGATCATCTACCTCCACGGGAAAATAGAAAAAAGAAAGGTGAAATTTCTCATGACTAACTTCGTATTTTGTTTATTCGAGTCGATTATCTTGTTATGCTGCTGCAAGTTTCGATCTTGTTTAGGGTTTCTGGGTATTTTGACGAGCTGTTTCGGTTTTATGGTTCTTTGAATTAGGGTTTATGTGAAGAAGATAAATCTTTCTTGTCTTTACTTGATAAATTAGTGTTGTTGTCATTTGCTCCTATTTTGTTTCCACTGTCTATGCTGTTCTGGAAATCGATCTTTGTTCCAGTATAAACAATTTTTTTTTTTTTCTTTTCCTCTTTTTTGGATAAAGATATTGGTTTTACTGTTGTTAGCGTCCTTATTTGTGCATATTCGTCCTGTGCAGATACTCGTCTGTTGATATTCAGGCATTTAATCTTGTCAATTCTTGATTTGCCAAGATGGTAAGGTTATTTTGTTTTTTGAATCTCTTTCTGTTTATTATATTATTTTTTATTTGTCAGTAATCCATTCTCTTAGCTTATTTTCTTTTTTAACAAACTCAGCACAATAAAATAGATTGACGAGGTATTCTATTTTCATTAGTTGGGATAAGACTTGGATGATGATGATGATATTTTCATAACTTGGGAAATGATATCAAGAAATTTATGATCTTTGCGAAAAATCTCATGCATTATCCTTTTCTATTTTGGTTGATAAAATTCAAATTGAACTATAAATTATGGATTTTTTTTTTTTATAATTTCGATGGATTATTATTAGTTCTAACAATAAATATTAATTTTAATATCTGTAGTTAAATTAACTACAACTTATATATTGCATGCTTGTTAAAAGTGAGACTACTGTACCTCTAAGTCGGTTTTATGTAAACTGTTATTAGTAGTTTTGCTTTGTTGTTCATCTCAAATACACCAGTTCACAAGATAGATAGGCATGCCAATGGGTGACCTGTGCACTTAGAGCATATTCTTTGTTTTGTCAATGCTTTTCTCTCTCTCTCTCTACGAAAAAAAAGAAAACATCATTTAGTTAGTGCCAATAAGATAAAATATGGTTCTCAACCTATTAGGTTATTACTAAAACAGCTATTTACTCTAATAACATATGGTTTACACAAAACATATTAATAAATGGCCATTCAATCCCTTCTTGTTTGATAAACCGCAACAATGCTCCTGTTTAAGGGCCATCTAGTAGAGATACCTGTTTTTGTTTAGAGATAAACCACAACTCTCCTTATCTAAATGGGGGTGAGGGTGGGATGGCTTAAAAACAATGTTTTAAAACCACAAGGCACAAAAAAAGCGCAAGAGGCAATCTGCACCCAAGGTCGTGCACGCCTTTTTGAAGCAAGGCACAAAAAAAACCAAAAAAATGCAGAAAAAGAATATTAAACATAATATTAAGAAAAATATAAACTTAAATGTTAAAATAAATCTTTTAAAACCTATTATGAAAAATTAAAATATATAAACATAACGTGTAAAGCGTATTCAAATGAAAATTTAAAAATAAAATCAAACATATAAAACATTTTCAAGCATATAAAACCCACAATCTCTTTTTTTTTCCCTTAATTGCATTATTTCAAATAGCTAATGTACCAAACTCCTCGAGGCAAGCCTAAACAAGTCCATGTTAGGGTCTTAGATTCTTAATCCTTACACTAGAAAAATGATTTAATAATTTTAATTGCCTTTTAAGAAGATATTTTATTAAGATGAATAAATGAATGGACAACCTCTTTATTTGAAATGGAATTGAACCATTCAGATTTGGGAATGTGTGTTTAACACCTGGATTTTGTGCATAAAGTTGAGGAGTGGTGGAGTGAAGTAATGAGGGGGATGATGACCAATTCCCCCCAAAATAGTAGTGTTCTGTTGGGAAGCCTATTATGGTAAGATCAATACTGTGGAAAACTTGCAAAAGAAGAAACCTTTTATGTGTTTGTCCCTTAATTGGTGCTCTCTGTGTAAAGTGAAGGGTGAGGACTGTAACCATTTGCTGATATCATGCTCCTTTTCTACCAATATTTGGAACTAGGTTGTTTCATTATTTGGGTGTAGGTGGAATTTGCCCTCTGAAGTAAAGTTGCTGTTCACTAAGGTTGCTTTTGGGAGACTGACGAAAAGAGGGAAGCTAATGTGGAAATGTATCAGAGCTGCTACGTTGTGGACTGTATGGGAGGAGAGAAATGCTAGAATATTTCAAGACATAAAAGAAGCCTTGCTAAAATCAAGGAATGCATATTGACAAGGACCATTTCATGGTTAAAATCTTCACACTTGTTGGCAGATTACTCCTTTGATGACTTGAGAAATTGGGCTGCAGTTACAATTTCCACCAAGAGCAAATCACAAGCTGAATGGATTCCCCCATTGGATGGTGTGATAAAATTGAATTTTGATGGAATCTGCCAAGGTAACCCAGGGCCATTGGGAATTGGTGGGATTCTAAGAGACAAAGACAACAATATGTTGTCTCTATTTTCAGGACCAGTGGGTGAAGGTGATTCAATAAGGGCAGAGCTACTAGCAGCGGTACAAGGCATACAAATGGCTAGTCAAACTGTCAAAGTGGAGTGACAAATTTGCTACTAGAAGGGGATTCTAAGGTGGTAGTAAGCTGGCTAATTAGCCCCAAAACAACTTGTTGGGGCTACAGGGATCTGTTAAAGAAAGTTAAATGGATGACAAGGAATATGACTGTCAGGTTTCAGTGGGTTAGAAGATCAGCAAATGCAATGGCTGATTCTCTGGCCAAGTAGGGGGTGTCAAGGGGAGATCTATTTTGGTTTACTTTGTAATTGTGTCTCAGGCTTGGGCAATTTTGGTGTATATGGTTCAGTCCTAGGGGGGGTAGCATCTCGTGCCTCCTCTTAGGCTGATTGTATTGTTGTTATTTGATTTAATAAAATTACTCTCATTTATAAAAAAAAGTAATGAGGGGGGTGAAATGGAAGGGAGTTAACTCCACAAAAATTTAAAAAGATTGAGATCCAAAATAAGAGAGTGGAACATGGATCAATTTGGAAGATTGGAGGTAGGGGTGTCAATAGAATTCGAAAATCCAATTTTGAATTTGAGATTCGACATAATCGAATCGAATTTGGATAAATTCGAATATCTAATCGGTCAAATTTGGATATCCTATTCATATTGAATAGTTTATCGAATTCGATTCGGATATGGCCTGATTCGGTTCAATAAATATTTGAATTTGACTAATTATTTAATTCTCATATATAATATATAAAATATTTAAATGTTTTATATAATTAATATTTATAATAATTAAATTATATAAATAATTTTTATATTTATACTTTATATAAATAAAATATTTATTTTATATATTTATTAATTACCTAAAATAATTAATTGGTTGGATCCGGATAGAATTTTTGAATATTTAATCAGATTCGAATTCGAATATTAATTTTTAATATCTATTGGATACCGAATCTAATTCAAATTTGGATATTGCATGATTCGATTCGAATTCAATCCATTTACACCCCTATTGGATTAACTAAAAGCCACCTTGATGACCAAAGTTGAGGATCTAGATTTAAAGGAATCTCAAAGGATAATGAGTATATAGGAATGAGAATTAAGATGGAAATTGAAGAAGGAATAAGAAGAGGTCCTTTTGTGGGAGGAGAGTTCTTGGAGACAAAAGTCTGAGCACAAATGGATCAAGGAACGGGTTGGAAACACTAAAATACTTTCATGGTGTGGCCAGTGGGAGGAGGAAGAAGAATTTTCTAGCTAATCTTGAGGTTGATGGAGTTGAAATAATTTTTTTTTGGATCAGCAACACAATTTATTTATTGATAAGATTAAAACAGCATATGAGTTAAAATAAATTCTCAAGAGGAGATAGCTAGTTGGTTTGTTGCTCACTTTAAATCAATTATGCAATGAGCACTTGAGTGTTGAGTGTGAGTGGCTGTTTTTTTTTTCGTAAAGTTAAAAAATTCATTAAAATGAAAAAAAAAACAATTACAACCTAGACACATGTTTAGGCAACACCTCCAATCAAAACTAAGGAGAAACTAGGTGCCCAAAGCTCAAACAAAGCTGACCCAAAAACAACTTACAACCCTAAACTCCCCTGAAAAACCAAAAAGAAACAAAAAACCATAACTTGAAACAACTTCTTGGAGAAAATAGGCTGCCAACATAGAAAAACTACATCCAAGCTCTCAACCCTCTCCCTCTCACCCACACCACTACAGCCAACCTCCTCTCACTCATTATCAACAAATTCTATTTCCCTCCCTTCACCTTCCTCCCAAATCTCACCCCCCTTCTGCAACTGCTTTCCTTCCTCTTGTTTTGTTCAAAATGTTCAATTGCCTTCCTCACCATCACTTCTCCGCCCCCCACCCCACCCCACAAAAAAAAAGAAAAGAAAAGGCCAAGAGACTTCCCAATTGCCACATGTATGTTCACTAGTTGATCAATGCCCACTTTTCCTTTCTCAGTGATATTTCCTTGGGGAGCTGTTCAACTCTATTCCCTAGTATCTTCCTCCCCCCTCCTTTCCTCTTCAACCTCAACTTGAACTTCAATATCCATTAATTTTTTTTTTTTAAAATCCCTCCCTTTCATCTTCCCATCTTCTCCGCATCCTCCTTTCCATCTTCAATCTCTTCCTCTTCATTCCTTTTATTGAACTTTATCCTATTCCTTTACTTCCTCTCCCCTGATGATACTTCACAATTTTGATTTATTGAGTCTAATCCTGGAGCCTTCTTGGTTGAGTCTACTTCTAGACAAATTGCTCTGCCTCTATCCTTCAAAAAATTCTGACCTCTAGCTTTGACTTTAGACCCCTTCCTCTTGTAGATTCTCTTAAATCTACAACAAAGTCTGTCCCCGACAAGTCCTTCCTTGAGACAATGAAAAAGCTTTGGTTATGTCATATGTGAACAAGCTGTCCATTGCTAGATCCTCTTGATTTTCTTAACTCTCCTATAGTGAAATTCTCAGCATTAGGCATCTTCAAAACGTCTTCACTTCTTTTCCTACCTAAATCCATCCCCCAAAATTTTCCTATTAAGACTGATGTCATCAAGACTTTTTCCTTGCACAACATCTTAAGGTTGATGCCTCTTGCAACTCTCCCAAGTCTTGATTCAGCACCCTACTGCTAGACTCATAGGAAAGGACCTTACTCTTTGAAGTAGTGAAATACACATTCTTCCTTGGATGGCCTTCCTTGTTAGAATTTTTTTTCATCTCAGCTCTTTCCATCCTTTCCTCATTGTTACTTATCATATGATGTTGATCCATCACCTCTTCAACTGGAACAATTTAACTACCATCCTTTATCCTGTTTGATGCAATGAAAAATCGTTCTTATAGTGCAAAGGTTTGTCCTTGATAGTAGCCCATCGTTGTGGATCACCTTCTTCGGTAGCCAATAA